GCAGCGCCGCGCTCATGGCCCCGCTCCGCGCTGCGGTCCGGACCGCGCTGGGGCCGCTCCCGCCACGCGCCGGGTCCCGCTCCGGCTCCGCTCCGCTCCGCTCCGCTCGGCCCAGGTGAGTTCGGTTCCGCTCTCAGCGAGGCGCGGCTTAATCCGCTCTATTCGGCTCCGCTGTGGTCGGCTCAGTCGGCTGCCCTCAGCGCACGTGGGTTCGGCTCCGCTCCGCTCGGCTCGGTTTCTCTCCGTTCGGCTCCGCCTGGCTCTGCTGGGCTCAGTTCAGTTCGGCTTCTCTCTGTTCCGCTCGGTTCGGCACTGGTTGCTTGGTTCGGTTTCTCTCTTCTTCGCTCCGTTTGGCTCCGAATGGCTCGGTTCGGCTCTCCTCTTTGCGGTTCGGTTCGGCTGCGCTCTGCTCGGCCCGTCCTGCCACGGGGGTGTCGCTGTGTCCCGCTCCGCCCTCCCGGCCCCGCGGGGGAGAGAGGGAGGGCTGGGGGGGCTGCGAGGCCCGAGTGGAGGCGGAGGCCGGGGGGGGGAGATGGAGCCCGGGGGGAGAAGGGCGCCTGGGGGGAGATGGGGACCCTGAGAGTCTATGGAGGCTCTGAGGGAGGACAGGGACCCCAAGGACCCCCCCCAGCCGTGTCTCCTCTGCTCTATCCTTGCAGCGGAGCAAAGAAAAAAGGGCGGAGGGGAGACATTTTGACCCAAAACGTGGCCGGGGCTGCGGGGGCGGGCGGTGGCATTTGGACAGCACTGGCAGCCACAAAATCCTCCTTTGAGGCCAGGGTTGTGTGGCAAGCGTGAGCGATGGGGCACGTGCCACCGCCACCCCCACAAGCCCCCAGGAACAAAATTGTGGGGTTGACTTATTTATTTATTTGGGGTGGGGGTGGGGTTGGGGGGGGGTGATGTTTCTGAAGGTCCTCTGGCAATATTTAACTCGGGGCCTCATTAGGAGTCTGCTCACACTCCCGGCCCCAGCAGGGACGCCGGGGAGAAACAGTCCCTTCCCTGGTGGGGGGAAATGGAGGCAAATCCCCGTCAGGAGATCCGGCTTTTAGGAGCTCGGATCGCTCTGCAGGCCGAGCAGCCCCAGCCTCAGCTGCTCCTCCATCCTCTGGAGGTCTCCTCCAAGGTGGCTTCTCGTGTGCCCCATTGCAGAAGGCGCGGGGTGAAAGCGGCTACCTTACATCCCTTCATTCTCTACAAACATTATTGCAGTGCCCGGGCTGGGCACTTTTAACGCTGGGCTCTTATTTATTCACATTCCCTGGATAGTTATGGTAATGGTTGGAGCGGCCTCGGCTCCAGCCGGGAACAATTTGGGCCCCTGTTCAGAGCCAGCGCTCAATGCCCTTCTTGTTGTGCCCTGCGTGGGGTGCTGAGGAGCCGAAATGGGGGGTGAGAAGCTCCAGGGACCCTCTTGTCTCTCCGTGCCCGAAGTCAGAGGCCGCGCTGGGGGTGGGGAAGCTGCAGTTTGGGGTAATTTAACAAAATGCTGGACGTGCCAAAGTCGCAGCGGGATGCCCGGCGCAATGCAGCGGGTAGAGAGAGGCACTGCCAGGGTGACCACGTCCTCAAAACACACTGCAGGGCCCGTGGGGGCGGCTTGGGGGCGGCTGCTTCGCCGGTAAATCACGGCGCTGCACTCGCCACCGCTGCTGCCCTCGCCTGGACTAACTTCTACAGCCAAATGGGCACTCAAAGGGAAAAAGTATCTCCGAGGTCAGGCAGCGGTAGGGATCTGGCCCTCGGACCGAGCAGACACTTGGGAAAAAAATTAAAAAAACCCCACACCTTTATTTGCTGATTGTCTAAAAAAAAGGCACTTAAATAGCTGTGATGTGGCGGGAGCTGGAGTGGAGGAGAAGGATGCGTGGCTGTGGTTAACCCAGAAGCCTCCTTGCACCACGGAGCGGCTCCATGCTGGAATCTCTGCCCTGAAAAAGAGCGTCCCCCTCCCTCTTTTCCCTGTGTCCGCAGCCACAGTATGTCCATTCGATCCGCTGAGACCAGCGGGGAAAGGGATGCCGGATGCTCCAGGGATGCTGGAGTTGACGGCACCGCTGGGCACTGAGCTGGTGCGGAGTCCAGGAACACCGGAGCTGGATGGGGGCATCACAGCTCATCCTTGGCCTCGGCCCCGGCAGCAGCCACGGTCTCCGGAGGCAACTCCATCTCCTGGGTGCCGAAGAGCATCCTCACGAGGTCGTCGGCCTGCACGCGCTCCTGCGGGCGAGCGCGGGCGTCACGGCCGGGCCCGCGCGCCCGGCGGGCTGCGGGTGCACAGGGCGCTCGCCTACCCGCTCGCTGTGGCGCGGGTCCAGCGTGAACCAGAGGGCGATGGCGCAGCGCTGGCCCTTGGTCACCGCCTTCACGCCGTGCGGGTTCTCCGAGCCCGAGGAGAAGCCCACGGCGCGGCCGCACTGGGGCTGCACCGACGCCTGCGATGGGGCAATGGGGTAAAGTGGTTTTTCCCATTCCCAGGGGACAGAAGCGGGACGGTGTGACCTGGAGCTGTGTCAGGTCCATGGGGAGCAGGTCACTTACAGTCTCAGTTTTGGCATCCAGCTCGGTGAAGTAGAAGGCTCCTCCTTCAAAGTCTCCATTGAGGTAGAGGATGGCACTGAAACCCATGGGACAAGTGGAGGTGACCTCCACCACGGCGGTGGTGGACGGGTCCCATCCATCATCTCCACATGAGCCAGAGGCCAGAGAACCTGGACGGCTCCTCCCGTCTGCCACTGGGCCCGGTGACTTCAGGTGGGGAGACGGGATGGAGGGGATGGGTGTCCCCACATACCTGTAGTCCCGGAAGGTGTAGGCGGGCGGCTCCTTCACACAGAGCAGGGCCTCGGCGTTGAGGATGCAGTTGTCCACGTGCACCTCGTGGCTGTTGTCAGTCCGACCTTCCTGCTTCTCTGGGTGGGAGAACCTGCACGTCAGGATGGCCCCAAAGGACAAGGAGGGGACCAGGACAGGACAAGGGGGTAGAGGGCAATGGTTTCTCCCTTGATGTGGAGGACAGGGTGGCAAGGAAGCTGTGGCTTCGCCGGGGCCGTGCTCACCATCGATGGCTGTGCGGCACACCAGGTGGGAGTAGGAGAAGTGGAGCGGCACCTCCAGGCGGAAGTAGGATTCCATCATGCGGCGCACCTTCTCCGTCACGTTGTAGTAGAGGTGGGCGCTCCGCAGGGCCACCTTGCCCTCCTGGCCCAGCTGAGGGGGACAGGAACACGGCCTGAGCCACCCACACCTCCCAGTGCTCTAGCTTGGCCAACAGCTTCATCCCAGCAGATGAAGGGGCTCCTCTTGTCCCCTTCTCCCTGTGCCCATCCTCACCTTGAGGGCCTTGAGGACGGTAACGCCATGGAAGGTCTCACTAGGGGTGTGAGGTGACGTCTTGCCCCGGTAGCCGTCCCCAGCTGAGGCGGCGGCCTGCAAGGAGGAGGCAGACGGATCAGGAGGCCCTGACAACCTCCTGAAGGAGATCCCGAGGCCTTCCCGTGGAGGGACAGCTCAGGCTGCCAGAGGTGGCCCTGGGACTCACATTGGAGAGCCGCTGCAGCTCGCGGCACTCCTCGTCGGAGAGGACCCCATCCACCACGACGCGCTGGGAGCCATTGAGGGCCCGCGAGCTCATGGTGACGCTGGCACCTTCGTAGACCAAAGGGCCACCTATGGCACGAACAGAGATCAAGGCGGGCGCGGGGAGACACAGAGGGCACGGCCTCCGCCGCCAGCCCGAGGCCCCGCTCCACCTTCTCGGATGAACTTGCTCACGTCGGCCGCCTCCTTGGCCTTCTCCTCCACTAACGTCTCGATCTCCTTCATGAGGTGGCCGATCTCCTCGGAGATGCGCGCCGCCGTCTCCCGCTCTGCCCTGTGCGTGCGAGCGGCCGTCACCTCCACGGCCCCCGTCTCGGGGACACCGTGTTTAGGACTGGCCACAGTTCTGTGGCAAAGCCCGGTGCTGGAGAGGGTCATCTTGACGCAGCCACCCCCGGTAGCGCTCACTTTTGTTTCTCACGCAGCCTCTTTGGTATCACGTCCTCTGGTGTCCATGTGTCCTACAAGGACAGTGATGCTATCCTCAGGGAGGAAAGGACCAGCCTCGGGGCCAGGTCCCTCATCCGCATCCCATCCAGGTGGATATCACGGTCCCTCATCCGCATCCCATCCCAGCATGGCTCACCGGGTCCACGAAGGGGATACCGAAAACGTCGTAGCTGAAGAAGAGCAGCTGCTTCTCCATGAGGCTTCGCTGGCGGTATGCCTGGATTTCCTAGGGCAAGGAGGGATGGATGGGTCAGGGCCACCACAGGAGGGATCTGGATCAAATGTGGATCACTCCTGCCAGAGGGACACAGGAGTCCCTTCTGCAGGAGGCTCCAGAGAAGCCAAGTCCCACCCATCTGGCATCTCCCAGCTCCCAGGCAGGGATCTGGAGACCTTGGAAACTCAAGGGGTCAATGGAGTGCCTCATCCCAGCTGGACGCTCACCTCTCGGGGCTCGATGGGCCCAGCCAGTGTCTCCCCCAGGACAGCGGTGTAGTAGGCCAAGTTCTGCTTCATCACCTCGTCGTTGGGGAAGAAGAGCAAGAAGGTTTTGGCGCATTCGACGGCTTTCTCGTAATTCCCATCTGCAAAGACAGGCAGGTCCATGAAGAGAGGTCCCTCTCCCTGCCTTACCTGCACCTGGCTTCAGCGAGGACAATGATCCAATGAGAGAGAAAGATAAGTGCCAGGTGCAGGCAGGTTGGTTGGATGAGACTCCAAGGTTGGAGGTGCTGCAAAAACTCAGCAAAAGCTCAGTAGAGAGAAAATAAAGCAAAAAGTGAGAGGAAAAGCAAGAGGGAAAGCCCTGTTGTCCCGTAGAAGTTCCCCAAAAGAAGGATGCGAAGTCCATCACCACCATGAACATGAAGGGGGAACAACAGGGTCTAAGGTACTCTCCAGCCTCCAGCTCACCAGATATGAGTTTTTCTGCTTAGAAAAAAAACATTTTCTTAAAGCCCACTTCTAGACAGCAAGACCTAACCATTTCCAGGCTAACCTGCAATTTTCAGACCCCCTTTCATCTACACTTCTCCATCCTTTGGATCTTCCGGGGCTTCATTTAAAGAAAAATATATATTTTTTTTCTCTTTCTTTTCTCTTCTGGACAAACTTGCCCAGAATCGCGGCCGGCAGCAGCTTACTGTTGTAGTAGGCGAACTGTAGGTAGTTGAAGTGTGAGGGTAGGAAGTCCTCCAGGGGCTTCTCGCGGCCAGGCTGCGAGGCCAGCTCTGTGACGCAGCCCTGCTTGCAGCTCAGCACCTGCATGTAGTGATCTGGGGGAGGAAAACGTCCCGTTACTGCTCGGGACCCACCTCCAGGACCATCACAGTCACCGTACGCATGGAAAACCCCCAGAGGTGGTGATCCCCCATTGCCACGTGAGCTGCTGTTTCCGCAGCCCCCAAGGCTGTGCCACCTTCCAAGGAAGGGACGTTTTCCCCTTGGTGACCTCCTGTTCCAGTATCTCCACATCCCTCTTGAGCTGCATGGAACCGGTTTCCCCTATCCCAGGCAGGATCTCCAATGCTGAGTAAAAATGGAAATAGCTCCCACAGTTTGCTGGCCACATTCTTCCTAATGTAGCATAGGATTTGCCTTCCCTGGGGTGGGAGCTGCTGCTCATCTTCACCCCATCCAAAGTGATGCTCTTCATTCCTCTATGGATTCATTCATTCGTTCCTCTACGGATGCGCTGTCACCTGTCATGGCCTGGAAGAGGTCTGCGTTGTATTCCAGGTAGTTGTAGCCCTCGTAGTCGTAAGGTCCCTCGCAGAGCGCACGGCACTCGGTGTCCGCCACGAAATACTCCTCCAGCGCCTTCTCCAGGTGCAGGATGGCGGCAGCGGGCTGCTCTTCCGTGTAAAACCGGACTCCCAGGCGAAACTCGGTCTGTGAAAAAGCCACCCAGAGAAACGACCTTGGGGCCTGCTGGTGCCCTGGCTCATCCCAAAAGCTACCATGCTCCTGGGAAAGGAGATGCCGGAAACTGGGACCATGGATCACCCTCGTATCCCATTTCCAGGGAAGATGGTGCAGAGCTGGGATGAGATTTGCCTTCATCTCCGCTCCCACTGGGGACCTTGCATGGCATACGGGGACCCAAGGCAACGTTGGGATGAAAGCCAAGCCCAACCGGCGCCCAGAGCTGCTCCGTCTCACCAGGTGAGGCCGGGCCTCCAGGTCAGTGAAGTCGTCCTCCTTGACGCCCGCCATCATCTGGTAGTACTCCAGGTTCTGCCGCATCTCCGCGTGCTCCGGGTTGGCCACGAAGAAGGTGTTTGCGGCCGCCACCGCCTTGGCCACCTTGTTGATCTGGGCGAGGGGACAGGGAGAAGGAGGCCGGATTTGCAGCGCGGCTGCAGTAAACCTCGGCAGAAAGGATGTGGCTCGGACGCGGCTCGGCTGCGGCCGCGCGGGTGATTTTCCCCCCCGGCACCGTGGCGGGAGCGAGCTGGGCCCCCGGCCAGGCCCGACGTGGCAGCGCGGGGGGAGCAGCCACGTGGGGAGGAGGGGACGGGCTCCCGGGCCAATCCTGACCCTCTGCTTCGGATTCCTGGGATATCCCTGGGCTCTGCCAGTCCGGCTGCATCCAGAGGCCCCCTGTCCCGGGGCTGGGACCCCCTTTTCCTGTTCTGGGCACCTATCCGGTTCTGTTAACACTGGTACCTCCTCCCCCACTCTTGACTGGTCCTGGTCCATCCTCCTTTTGCAACAGGATCCCCTTTGGGCACTCTGGAACCCCCCCTTCCTGGTCCTAACCCCTCCTCCTGATCCCACTGCACTGGGACCTTCTTCCTCCAGTCCCACAACCCCACCGGATCGCACTGGATCAGAACCACCCTTCTCCCAGTCCCAGTACCTGGGACCCCCTGATCTCATTGCACTGGGATCCGTCTTCTACCGGTCCTGTTGCACCAGGATCCCCCCTTCCCCGCTCCCAGCATCCCCATCCAGTCCCCTTGCACTGGGACCCCCCTCCCCTCCGGACGACTCCCATCAAGTCCCGTTGTACCGAGACCCGTCCCGGTCCCTCCTCCTGGTCCTGTCGTACTGGGATCCCCCCTTCCCTGGTCCCAGCACCCCCATCCGGCCCCGTAGCCCCGGGACTCCCCTCTCCCAACCCCGTTCCCTTCAGCGGGCCCGTGCCGAGGGGCGCCACCCCCAGTGCCGCTGCACCGGGATGCCCCGCGCTCCGGTTCCGCCCGACGCGGTTCCGCCCGCACCTTGAAGTAGGCGACCTGCAGGTAGTTGTAGGGGCTGCGCTTGCGGAACTCGAGCTCGAGCTCGTCGCCCAGGCGGTAGCGGGAGGGCGCGGGGGGCCCGCAGCGGCGCAGGCAGGCGGCGCGCCGCAGCAGCCCGCCGAAGAAGCGCAGGTCGCGCAGCGCCGCGTCGCCGTCGCCGCCCGCCGCCGCCTCCTCGGCCCAGCCGGTGTCGTTGGCGCAGCGCAGGCGGCAGCGCGCGAGCCGGGCGCGCAGCGCGGCGCGGGCCCGCAGCGCCCGCTCCATGTGCAGGATCACGGAGGCCCAGTCGCCCCGCGCGTACGACTCGGAGCCGGCGGCGAAGAGCGCGTCCGGCGGCTCGGCGGGCACCGGCGGCGGCTCCGGCGGCTCCGCGGCCGCCGCCAGCAGCAGCAGCGGGAGCGGGAGCAGCGCGGGCAGCGCCATGGCGGAGCGCGCACCGCCACCACCCGACGGTGAGGCCACGCCCCCGCCGTCGAGACCACGCCCCCGCCGTCGAGACCACGCCCCCTCCGTCGAGGCCACGCCCCCTTCATCGAGACCACGCCCCCTTCGTCGAGCCCGCTACTACAGCGCGTTATCCCCGCCCCCGGTCGAGGTCCCGCCCCCCAGTGCCGGAGCTCAAAGCCCGACAGGCGCAAGCCCCGCCCCTCATAGCCCCGCCCCAGGAGCCACGCCTCCCTCCTCGCCCACTGGGAGCCGCGCCCCCACAGCTGGGGCCACGCCCTCCTCCGAGGCCCTTCCCACCACAACCCGGACCCCGCGGCCGCTGCCCCCGACGGGAGCCACGCCCCTCGCCGAAGCCCCACCCCGCGGAATCCCCGCCCCCAAGCCCCCGCCCCGGGACAGCCACGCCCCCCTTCCCTTCGCCCACTAATCGGCATCCGGCTCTGCGGCGCGGGCCCCGCCCTCTTGGCGGCTAGGCCCCGCCCATCGCGGCACCGCCAACCCGCCGCGCACCAATCATCAGCCGCAGCTCCGCCCCGCCCCGCGGCGGAAGGGGCGGGGGGAGGTGCAACAAGATGGCGGAGGCCGGTGTGGGCGGCCATGGCGGCGGCGCCGCGGGCCTCGCGCTCGTGGAGGGCGGCGCCGGGCGGGCCGCGCGCCTCGGCGACCCGGGCGACCTGGTGGCCCTGGCCCGGCAGGTGCAGCAGGTGAGCGCGCGGCTCCGGCGGCCTCTGGGGCCTCCCGAGCGCCTCGAGGTGTCCCCCGGCGCCTTCCCGTGAGCTTCCCCGGGCGCCTCCCGGAGCTTTTTGCTGCACACTATGTCCCCAGTAACTCCCAGTGCCTCCCAGTATGTCCTGCTGCCCCTTCCTGGTGCTGCCCAATAAGTCCCAGTGCAAGGCAATACCTCCCAGGGTTCCTATACACATTCTAACATCTTCCAGTCCTGTTGCCTCCCCATCTAGTACCCCTGCCCATATGTCTCCGTGTCTCCCAGTATAGCCCAGTAGAGCTCAGTGCCTCCCTGAATGTCCTGTTGCCCCTTCCAGAGCTCCCCAGGAAATCCCAGTGCCGCACAGTACTTCCCAACGTCCCTCTAAGTGTCCCAATACCTTCCAGTCCCACCCTTGCCCTATGTATGTCTCAGTGCCTCCCGATATGGCCCAGTAACTCCCAGTATGTCTTATTATGCCCTCTCAGTGTTCCCCAGTCAGCCCCAGTGCTCATTGGTACCTTCTAGTGTCCCTGTGTGTGTCCCAGTACTTTCCCGTATCCTCCCATTATGTCTCCATCTGCCCCCAGAATGCATCAGTGCCTCCCAGTAGAACCCAGTAGCTCCCAGTGCCTCCTGGTTTGTCTCTGTGTCCATATCCCCACTGCCACGGTGCCCCCCCGTCCTGACGGCTGCCCGCTCTCGCTTGCAGGCGGATGACTTTATCCGAGCGAGCGCCTGTGGAAAACTGACTGTCATCGCCGAGCAGATCCGGCACCTGCAGGAGCAAGCTCGCAAGGTGAGCGCGCGGCGGCGTGTCTGCTTGCTCCCACCTCTGCTCGTCCCTTGCCTTCAGCGACAAGGCCAGAATTGTGGATCCTTCGTAGGGAGCCGAATTCCCCTTTTCCAGGGGAGATTTGCTATTCCTATGCCTGCTTTCCTAGCAGGAAAGCTTCGGATTCTGGTGGCTGAGTGCAGAGGAGAAAAGTAGATTCATCAGGGGAAATCTGGAGAAAAAAAAAATCACATAAAGCATCTCCTTGGGGCAAATAATAGATGAGCTTGATGAAGTGCATGTGTGCTGCAGAGGGCAAAGTCTGCGTGAGTGGGAGAACATGTTGGGATCCAATTTCAAGCATGGAAATGTTGCATTTTATTTTTAGGTCTTGGACGAAGCTAACAGAGATGCTGATCTGCACCATGTGGCCTGCAACCTCGTGAAGAAGCCAGGAAACATCTACTACATGTACAGGCGGGAGAGTGGCCAACGATACTTCTCCATCCTGTCCCCTAAGGTGAGTGATGGGAGCCTCTGAGGAAGCAGGGAGTGGGAAAAAAACCTGCGTGGGCACTTCTGGACTGCAGGCAAAAGCACTTTGTGGAAATAAGGAGCTGCAAATGTTTCTTGGACCTTCTCTGTAGGCTGGTCCTGCACAGCCACCTGGCAGTGCGGTGTGCACAGACGCTTCAGCCTCATGCTCAGGTTTCATTGCAGTAGGATGTTTTGTTTCTGTAAAACAAGGACTAGTCTGCTCCTGAGTTTTGGGGTTGGTCTTGGAGAACCTATCCTCCTCCCAGGCCCCCCATTTCTCATGAGCACATTGGAGGCTCCAGAGACAGGTTGCTGATAATGAAATAAAGGACTTGAGTGATCTTAGTGCCATGCTGCCGTCCTCAGATTGTGGCTAGAAAGGTGCCATGGCCCTGTCATGAGTTGTGAGTCACTCTTCGGTTCTGTATCTAGCTGGGACCAAAGATCTCAACCCACCTCTGGTGATTTAGCCCAGAGTGGGCCATTCTCCTAGAGTGAGCGGGCAATCCTGCACAGGTAGGAAGGTGAGGGGGAGCCAGTGTAGCCTGGCTTCGTAGGAAGTGGAGATGTGACATGAACATATCCTTTCTATCCTACAGGAATGGGGGACCAGCCCCCACGAGTTCCTCGGCGCCTATAAGCTCCAGCATGACATGTCTTGGACTCCCTTTGAGGATGTTGAGAGACGAGATGCTGAAATAAAGGCCCTGGACAAGCTGCTGAGCCGGCAGGCAGCGCTGCCCTCGTCTACAGAGCCCAACTTCCACGGTCTCACCAAGTGACACGAGCCACTGCTGCGACCGCAGAGCAGACGGGACCTCTGAGCAGAGCCTTGTGAGGGGACAGACTGGCAGGGGCCAAACCCTGCCCAAGACAGGGGCAGGAGAGAGCTCCAGAAATGAAAATGCTGCTACTACCATTACATGCTCTGTACTTTAACGAGACTAATTCCAAATTCAGTCTTAACTGGATTTTCTAGTAACAGAGTAATTTATTTTTTTGACTCATGCCAAGCGCTAGCAAGAGGCAGATATTAGATGGAGTCAGTCCAAGAGGGTGGGGGACAGAAAGCAAAATCCCTTGGTGCAGATGTGCTGATACCATGAATTAATGTCCCACCTGGCCATCTGTGGCATGTGACCTACCACATGTGTGGTAGGTAATTGTTTCAGGGCTGTTTTTTGGCCTTTATGAAGAAACACACAGTGAGGAAACCCTATGGCCAGGGAAAAGCCTGAAGACCCAGACAAAAAGACATGTTATGGTCTGAGCTGTTTGCGGTCTTCCAGCTCTTCCAGTGCCTCTGACTTCCACGTGGGATGTCCTGGAGCTCTCCTGCCTGGAAAGAGTGTCTTCCAGAGGACTGTGAGCTTCAGGCCATCGGCCTGGCTGCCGTGGGTCTGAGAGGGAGGGCTGGGCACTCTTTGTATGTGTCTTCACAGCCCTCTTAGGTTTCCCTTGGCTTCCACTGAGCTGCCAGAGAGAGATGGGGAACGTATGGGATCCCACACTCTGTTTTATAATGAGTGCACTTGTGTCAGAACCCTGAAAAAAAAAATCTCTCTTGTTGTCAGATGCGCTGCTGTGGTAGGCCCTGCATCCCCTTTTCATGGACAGTGTTCTTCTGCTGCACCAGGGAGACTCAGTGCTACGTTAGGACATTTCCATCCCCGCCGTCCACCGGGGCCTGTAGAGAGGCAAAGATTGGAGTTCCAGAGGAGATTCCTGCATGCCCACAGCCACACAGATCCCAGGAGTGTGCAGAGCTCCTGGGGTCTTGCCAGCAGGAGAGAAGCCAGTTTTGCCCTAGGGCTGTTGCAGGATCAGCAAGTCCTGACTGAGACGTTGCAAATCGCCTCCAGAACACCCAGTTTTACCGGCCGTGGCTGCTGGCAGCTCTGCTCCTCTCTCCTTCCCAGGAGAAGCAGTTGAGGATGTTCCTTGGTGAGGATGTGGAGGAGGCAGCTGCTATCTTTGGTACGCTGCGTTACCCAAAGGTAGGTTTTTGGCTGAAAGTTTTTTAGCTTTTTTACCCCAATGAGCAGCTGCTCAGCTGGGCTTGCTCTCTTCCTTGGCACAACTGGGGAGCCATGACAAGACGTTCCACTCTCCTTGAGGGCTGTGGTTGGCTTGGCCTTCTTTTCTATTTTTTCCATTTCCAGTTCTGCTGGATATAATAGCTCAGCTTTGTCCCTCCATGGAAGAGTGGTTCGACTTTCCTGGTCTTTGGAGTCAACACAGGCCATTTTCAGCTGTTTTTTCCATGCGTCCCCCGTTACTAGCAGCACTGGGCCGATTACAAAAAAAAAAAAAAAAAAAAAAAAAAAAAAAACCAAAACCAATGTATTATCATTAGACCAGGCTGTATAATTAATTCCTTATCAAACTGCAAGTACTTAATTTGAAGGTGTTTCTTTTTTCCTCTATGTTGCATAGCCCCAGGCATTATTTTACTGCACGTTATTAAATCTCAACTTAGAAGGTAGAAAGTTAATTACTGCATGGGCTTTTCTGTGGGGCTAATTACAGCATCAGCAGAGATCTCTGTGTAGGCTGGTTCAGAGTCCTCTGGGAAGAGGTTTTCCCGCTCCAGATTTATTTCTGTGGCAGCAATCATTTCTCAGCACTAAAACCCATGCAGTGATGGATGTGTCCAAGGGTGCGGGGGGTGATGCTCAGCACCCAGTTTTCCAGAGTGCTGGCTCTGTGGGCCTGTAATTCCTGAGTGTCCTGATCTTCTGCACTCCATGGGAAGCAGGGATGAAGCTGCCGAATCCACCTGCTTCGCTGGGGGCGATGCTGGAGAGAGGAAATAGAGTGGCCAGCAGCTTGGGAGGAGCAGCTTGCTGGATTCTGCTGGCGCTGCTGTCCCAGCAAGCAGCTTCTCTCATCTAATTCAAAGCCGAGAGCTGGAACAACGTCAGAAAACTGGGAAGGTAAGTCAGGAGATGCTGCTGTGGAGCCAAGAGGATAAGGAAGGAGCTGGTAGTGGGAAGGCGAGAAGTGCCAATCCGTGGCAGGGATGTGCTTGAACTTGCAACCAGTCCATTTTGACCCCTTGCTCTTCCCTGAGGTTGCGTCTGGGTGGCTGTGGCTTTAGGTAGCACTTTGTTTGGATTAAAACCTTTAAAATCCGACAGCTCACGCAACCTCTGTGCTTATGTTCTCTGTTTTGTCCATAGTGGCCCAGCTTTTAATGTAACGCTTTGGAATTCGAGGCTGTCTGGCACTAGACCTGAAGTGAAGGGTCTCTGTGGCCTGGATACCGCAGGTCTTGTTGCCTTCTCACCCTGCAAGGCGGTTTGTTAGCGCCTCAGTGCTCTGAATGGTACCAAGAGTGAAGGCAACTTACCTCCGATGGTCTAAAAGCAGCTCAGCTCCTGCTTGTAGCCTTCCTTTGATTGCACATTTTCACAAAAACACAAGCAAGGCTGGAAAATCACCCCCAGCACAGTTTTTGGTTTTATAAGGTGGTTCTCAGACTCCTGCATTAAGGGTTTTCGCACCGTGAGCATTTTCTCCTGCTCATCCCGTGTCACCTTCCCAAACTGCAGTGCGAAACCGGGAGGTTCTTCCTGGCTCTTAAGCGTTTAATTAATGTGGACGAGTTTCCTTTTCCAGCCAAAAAGGCCAGGTTGCGAGTGCCGTTTCTCCATCTGGCAGCACGGGGAGCGTGTTGCCTTCCGGCGCTCTCATTTCTGCAATTTTCTTCTTTTCTTTCCCTGTCATTTGGGGAGAAGCTGATGAGGTTTTGGTGTAGGGCATATGGAACAACCCTCAGGGTGTGTGCATTGCAAATCACACCCAAAACAGGGGGTTCTGCAGCCCCGAGGGTGTGTGCACGGCAAAGCACACACAAAGCCGGGGCTCCTGCAGCCCCTGGAGTTGACGCACAGCGATACCCGCCCTGTATGGGAGCCGGTATTGCCAAGGGGATGTGTACACAGCAATGCACCTATAGCACGGGGGCTCCTGTGGCCGCTGGGGTGCACGTCCGGCCTGTAAACCCAAACGGGCTTTTTTTCCCCCCAAAATCCGCCGCCGCGGCGCTGCAGGGGGGAGGGGGAGAGGGGTGAGAAGGGAGGGGGAGTGGGAGAGGAGGGGGCGGGGCCAAGCGCCCCCTGGCGACCGCTTCTCGCCTTGCCCCGCCCCTTCTTTCTGGCCCCGCCCATTCGCCGTGCGTGATGACGTCAGCGGCGGCGTGCCCCTGTGCGTGAGCCGAGGAGACCCCGCAGCGAGCTGCCAACGCCCGGCGGAGACTCTGAGGTGAGAGAGCGCGCAGGGCCCGGCCCCGCCGCGGCCGCCGCTCCCCGCTCCCCTCTGCTTTCCTTCCCGCTTCTCCCTGCGGCCAGTGCCCGGTGCCGGGCGTCGGCTGGGCCCGGGGAGCCGCCCCGACGCGGCCCTGCGGGGGCTCTCGGGCCGCCTCCGCCTCCCTCTTCCTCCCCCCCCCCCCCCGGCTTTTGCCTCAGGGCGCGTGGGGGAGGGACGACCGTTACCAACGGGGAGGGGAGTGTGGGGGGGAAGGCGCCGTGGAGCCTCCTCTTTATGAGGAGCAGGTTAAAAACTCTTGAAAATGGAAAATAACCCCTCAAGAGCAGATTTCAGCGCCCATTTCCGCGCCCCGGTGCGGCGCCGGGCTCGGCCCTTCCGGGAAGGAGCAGCGCCGGCGGCGGCTTCTGGCCCGCGTTGCATCGGCCGCCGCTGCCCGGGCTCCTTCCGCCTCCCCGGCGTTAATGGTAACGCGCAGGAGCGTCTGCAACAAGTCGCCTCTGCCTTGCCCGGGCTCCAAGGTGTCTTCTAGGCACCCGCCACCCATCTCTCCTGCGAGCGCGGCAGGCAACGGCGGGGGCCACAGCCAGGTAGAATTGTAAAACCTTCGTTAAAGGGTTGTAAAATAGCTGGAAATCGCCCTGTCCCGGCCCTGGGGCAGGGCCAGAGTGGCTTTGCGGGCGTCTCCCTGACAAAAGCATAAGCAGGCCCTGAGGAGGAGGCCATGTTAGATGACAACTGTGTTGTCCCGAGTAGTTCAGCCTGGCCATCTGTGGGTGCCTTTGTCTTGGGTGCCTCCTCCTCTGTGCTCTGGGAGAGGAGGTGCTGCCTGCCTGCCCGCCTGCCTTCAGAGAGCGTTAGATTAAACAGTGGCGGCCCAAAAGACGCCTTTCTGGAATGGAACTAACAGAAAAACTTGAGCATCTTTTATTGCTAATTGGCATAACTCAGTGAAGCACTTAGGGCTTTTCTCTTCCAGTTAGTGGAGGGTTCTCACATAAAAATAACTTTAGATAGAAAGCTTTTGTGTTTGAGCAGCTCTCCGCAGAAAATGTGGTGTTATAAAGTGCTCTTTTATATTAGCGTAGCGTTATAGGGAACTATAGACAAATCCATCTTAGAAAGGGATCTTATGTAAGACTTCAGTCGATATATTGGTAACTCTAGAAATGATGCTGTGCGTTCAAACTCTTCAGTTATTTTATGCTTTAGTAATAATGAGGAAGAGCATTTCTAAGGCTTGGCGAGAGGTAATAGCCACTGTTTTGTGCAAGATAAAACATGTTCACAGCTTGCTAACTTGTTCTGGACCGAAATTATAGTCGTTAGATTAATATACTTTGAACTTGGTTAAGCACAACTGATGCTGCAACAAGCTGGTTAAGTGCGTCCTGCTTTGATGGTTTTTGTTGCCCTGAAAATAGTGGCTGTTTTGGGGAAGCTTAGTATGTTTTCAGTGTTAATACAGAACTTTTCTGGAAGTTCTACAGTATTTTCAGTGTCTAAAATGGGAACCATAGCTCTACTAAAAGAACAATGGTAAGTAGAAATGGAGTATGTCCAAAGCTCCTTGGGATTTCCCTGATGAGTGTGCAGCTGTGACTTTTTTTTTTTTCCTTCTTAATTTTCCTGTAAAACACACACAACGTTACTCTTGAATGGTTCTGGTATAAAAGCTCCCTTTACTTAAAAGGCAGCTATGGCACTTAAACATCAAAGGCTTATGAACGTAAGTTTATTTTTTTATTTGTTGCGCCAAAAGTTTTGAAGTTCATTCAAATTGTTGGTGTAGCTGGGTCACAACTCGGCTTCAGGCTCCTGGGAACCCATAGTTTACTGAGAAAGGCGCATCACTGCGGTCTGGACACGCATGTAACCCATTTTATCCTGATACCAGTGTTCACAGCTTTTAAAAGTTACCTGTGAAGTGTGTTCTAGCTCCCTCTTTCCTTTGCCTGCCTCTCA